AGGCGAGGTGCCGGCGCGCGGCGGGGGCCGGCGGCCTCGCGTCGCGGGAGTGCGCAGGCGCGGAAGGTTGCGCCTGCGCAGTGCTGCGCGCCACGGGGCGTGTGTGTGTGTGAGGCGGGGTGGGGAGGGAGAAACCGCTGTCCCCGCCCGCCCTCCGCCTCCGGCTCCGCCTGAGCGCTGGGGAGCGGCAGCCGCGGCGGGCAACTTCCCCCTCAAGTCCGTCCGGTTGGCGGAGGCGGCGGGGAGGAGGAGGACTATGCGACCCGGCTGAGCGCGGCCCGAGAGGGGCGGGCGGGGGTGAGGACCGAGCGGCGCTAGCCGCCCTAGCTAGGAGTCGCCCGCCTTCAAGCTCCCCCCCTCCGCCCTCCCCCCGGGGTCCGGGGCGGGAGCCGGCGCGGCCGTCCCATGTCCCGCAAGGCCAGCGACAATGTGGAGTACACGCTGCGGAGCTTGAGCAACCTGATGGGGGAGAAGCGGCGGAGGCAGGCGGACGGGGCCGCCGGCTCGGGAGCGGCGGCGGGAGAGCGGAGCCTCATCGCCGCCGAGTCGTGCTCCAGCCTCAACAGCGCGGCGTCGGGCGGCGAGCTGGAGCGGGCGGCCCGGCGGCAGTTCCAGCAAGACGAGACCCCCGGCTTCGTCTACGTGGTGTCGGTCTTCTCCGCCCTGGGGGGGTTCCTCTTCGGCTACGACACCGGCGTGGTGTCGGGGGCCCTGCTCCTCCTCAAGAAGGAGCTCAACCTGGACGCCCTCTGGCAGGAGCTGCTGGTCTCCGGCACGGTGGGGGCCGCCGCCCTCTCCGCCCTGGCCGGCGGCGTCCTCAACGGGCTGTGCGGCCGGCGGCCCTGCATCCTGCTGGCCAGCGGCCTCTTCACGGCGGGGGCCGGCGTCCTGGCCGCCGCCCGCGACAAGGAGACCCTGCTGGGGGGACGCGTGGTGGTGGGGCTGGGCATCGGTGAGTGCCAAGCCGCCCCGACGGCTCCTCTCCTTCCCTCCCTCCCTCCTTCCCTCCTCCAGTCCGCCCCGCTCCCCCCATCCGAGAGTCCCCAGCTCTTGCCCCGGCTGGGAAAAGCACCCCCCCCCCCCCCCCCCCCAAGAAAGTAACTTAAAGACAGACATGTAAATAAATATTACAGGTAAACATCACTTAAAAGAGAGAACAGTTCCCACATCAGACCTACTGCAGTCTTCTTCTCACAGACTCTTGAGAGTCTTTCAGATCAAGTAATATTAGGGCAAAGTATTATAATCTGCTGAATAAGTCCAAAAACTTAATGCTTGTAGATGATAATTCTAAAGAAAATTATTTATTTCTCTTAACAAAATTTTAAGAGTTTGAACACAGTTCAATTATATTCTAACCCCCCCCCCCCCCCGCCCTCTCCCCGAGAGGCGGGTTTAACCGAGCCTAAAATCCGCTCGCTGATGTGGGGCAGCCCGCGAAGAAAAGGCGAAGGTGTGGGGTTGGAAGCTCTCGGCTGCTGGTGCACGGCCGGGCCGAGGGCGGGAGAGGGCTCTGCCGGCGGAGGGGAGCTGTGTGCTCCCCCGCTTCGGTTCTGCTCACAGGCGGTGCGGTCCCAGCCCGCGCTGGGGGAGAGCTGTCTGGTTTCTGTGCGAGGTCGCGCATCCCTTCTTGCAAATTCGTCTCCAGGGTGGTCTGTCTATAGCCCACGCCGTGAGCTTTGCCTCTGAGGGGGCTCTGGGCGGCCGGGAGTGAGGGGGGAGATGGTGCCTGTCTTTCTGAACTGTAAATGTCTCTTCTGATTCCCCACACAGCTTTCCTTTTCACTTGGCACTAAAGGAATGCTTTTGGGACAAAATGAGGTAGTAATCTCTCTGGTCAAATGAGACGCCTCTTGTTTTGGGAGGTTTTGGGAGGTTTTGCATTTCGTTAGTAGCGTTCAGCAGAACTGAACATGAATTGCTGCTCTTAGGCTGCCTTTCTATATGCGTTGCATAACTTGCAAGCAGTAGGTTCTGGTAAAACTTTATAGTTGTCCCAAGGAACTTGAAGTGATGAGGAATGTTTCCTCTAACCTTTGAGACTGGTTTCTGTGCCAACTATATCCTAAATATCCCCAGTATTTTGGTTGCGCTTCAGCTGCCATCCTGTCAGGCAGTAATTTAAATGATATTCATCATCCAAGATGGGCTGTATGAGGTTATTCAGAGTCCTTGGACTGCCCTGTGTATAGCGGGGGAAAAAAAAAGTAAATCTTTCTTACTGTGATCTTGCAACCCTTCCTATCTAAAAGCACACCGACAATTTGAGAATTCGACTTCTTGTCCTCTGCATAGCAAAGTTCTGTTTCTTAGCCACTGAATAATCTTTTGAATTCTCTGGCTTGTTATAGACACACTTGCTGTGATGCAGTTTGTGATCTTATTAAGGAAAAAAGTTAGTGAATCATAATAAGGGCTGTCAGAAATAAAAATTGGCTCCATCCTTGAAAGGGCTCATGCTGGTTTCCCTGTACAGTAAGGGACATCTTCAGGTTGCAGTTTTCCTACCCCGAGGTGGGTGGTTGTTTCTTATTTTTCAGGTGCTACCTTCCGGCAATTTTTTTTAATGAAGGCTTCAGACTGCAGAATGTCGATAATGTTTATTATAATGTTCAGGAGACAAGAAAGCTAAATTTGACTATGAGCTGGCAGGTGTTTTTATGGCAATATGTAATACGTATGTTTAGTGTTGGATACTAAAAAATATTAAATTTTACCTCTTTCTGTGTTTGTAAAGCTTCTCGTGTTCTTTGTTGCCCGTAACTGGTTACATCGACAACTTCAGGGGGAAGAGAGAGAATTATTTTCTTGACTCTTGCGTGTGTGTCTTATAGAAAGATACGTAGGTAGGTGTGTTGGAATTATCCTACATTGGTGTAAATAAATTACATAGGTATTGTCAGAGGGATATGAGACTCGGGGCTACTATAATGAATATATAAAATGCGGAAATAGAAATTGGGAGCTAGGGGTTGTTCCTTTGTATAGCTGTAGATTTCGTGTGTGGTCTGGGGAGAGAGATCTATCTTTGGATTCTTTCCATGTCAGAGACAGAGATGGTGGTTCTGCTGGGGCTCTGGAGAGCTGAAGTAAGGACTGAGAGATGTTCTGAGGATTTTGGAGTGGAAAGACTTTGATTTATATTTTTAAAAATACGATATTTTCTCATTTTTATCAAAGGTTGCTCTTATGGCCAGAAACAAAGCATTAACTTAAATTGCTGTCACTGAAGCATCACAAGAGACTCCAAGAATCACAGAGTCCAATACTAATGAGGTTTATTTTTACAAAAGAAGAAAAAATGTTGTGGTTCAAACCTGTTCTCATACAGCAAACTGCAACAATCTCTACATTAAATCCCCCACCAGAGGGAGCCTGGATAATTTCATGAAGGCATTGGAAATTGGTGGATCTTTTAACCAGTTTCTTCCCTTTCTGCTCTTGGAACCCTCCGACTATCATTTTACTGCCCACCGTGAACAAGAACTCCCTGGCACTGGTGTAAGGAGGTCGCTCAGAATTGTGACACTTCAGTGACAGTGCAAGCTGCTGAAGTGTAAGGGTGCGATGCTGTAGTGTTATGAAATGCTTTCCTACCTGCAAACCAGTAAAAACTTCCTAGCTGTGTATAATTTTATACATTTTTGAGGTTTCTTTCCTCCAGCTCTCTTCCACTTGCACATCAAGAGATTGACTCCAGAAATAGGCGTTTGTTTGCATTCAATAAATGAGTTACTGTGTTACGGCCGATACTGTGGTGCTGTAAAAGTGATGCTTACCTATGGGACTTCGTTCCGCCCTCGCTGGTACAGTGTGGATCTGTGTTAATTGTGCCCATGTGAGAAAACGGCCATTTTTCTTGTGGCTGTGATTTATAAAGGCTACGGTTAAACTTTCAGGGATGTAAACCGCAGGATATACACAGAAATGAGGAACATCTCTCACTTGTCTGTCTTGTCTGTTTCTTACTGTTTTCCATAGAGCTGTTTGTTTTGAGATAGAAAAACTCATTTTCTTCCTAGCAATTACAGAAGGAGATGTTTCTGGAAAATAAAGACCTTTTCTCAAGGACAAGCCAAAGCCCTCTTTTATTGTGAATGTTGACTAGATTTTTATAGCTGGAAACAGTTATTTTCCCCCTCCCCCCTCAATGTCAATACAAAGGAGTGCAAAAGAATGGAAACCAAATTCAGCATAAGGTTAGAATATGCTTAGATCTTTTCAGGTCTGAATTTCAAAATACATAGTTCATGACAACTTCAGGGAAAATGGCTTAATAACAAGGTTGTGATCGTCATTCCCTCCCCGACGCCTGCCCTTTCCTGAGCAGCTCTGCTCTCCCTGACTCTTCAGGAATTTGGCTGAGCCTGTTGTCAGGAATGCAATGTTTGGATGTGTATTCATTACAGCAAATGTGGGCAAATTTCAAGCATTTAGGAAGTTGGATCATGTGTGCTCAGTAGCACTTTGTATGAGCTTAGTCAGAAAAAATGTCATGGGCATAAAGCATATTTGGACTTTTGCATCTGCTCATGCTAACAGCCTTCGCTTGTTGCTGAAGGGTGACCAACCATACTTGGTGTGGGATTGAGGGTCAACACAGGTTTGCCTTGTGTTGGCTGCTGTATTTTGTACGTGTGGCAGGAAAGCCAGGTTCTTCCCTTGACTTATCTTTTGTTTGTCCTTCCAGAGTCTGGGGACAGGCCAAGAACTGAAACACCAAAGGTTCAAGCTAGGCGTGACTGTAGACAAGAGCTAATCCTACTGAAAATCTGTTGCCGTGAGAAGGGAGATGGAGAGTGAGTAGAGTAAGCACCAGGACTAAACGTAATGGAGACTAGAAAGGATAATAATGAGTGGCTCTGTTTGCAAGGTCACTTCTCTCTTAGACTGTGATCAGCCCAATGTCCTAATTTTACAGTCACTTTGTTGTCTGAACCCATCGGCCAAGACTATTTAGATGTGTTTCCACAGCTCGACCACCTGCAACAGGAGCAGTTCATCCTTCTCTTATTGAGGATGCTGAAGGTTTTAAGCCTGCAGCTGGTGTACGTGGGTGTTGGCATGGTGTTTCAGGTAGTGTGCTGTTCAGATCTCTTTTTCAAGAACATTTTATGTACCCGCTGTGGAAGAAAAGCTGTTTGTCAGGAAGTGACAGAATTGAGCTTGCTCATGCAGAGTTGATCTCTATCTTCATGTACAATCGTTAGCTGGATGATTAGATTCTCCTGTCTTGTTCAGCATGCAGAATAGATGATGCTCAATTAATGATCAGCTCTTCAGTGTTATGTTTTCTTACTCCATGTGTGGCTTAGGCATTGACGCACAGGCCACCCAAGCCCTTGGGGAAGCAGAGTTACTCCTTAGGACTACTGTGGGTGCGTGCACTCTGTTACTAACTATGTCTGCAACACAACAGAGACCTGACTTGGTTAGGTGCCTTGTCTTCTCCCTGGCTTTGCTGGTGGTATGTTATGTATCTTCACCATGTAAGCCTGCTGCTCAGTGCTTGCTCTGTACTTAAAATGTCTGTAGTATTTTTGTTTTTTAAAGGCGGTATTTGAATGTGACATCTGTAGTGTTCCTGGTAGCATCTTTTTACTGCATATGTAGGTCATTTTCTGAGTGGAGGAAACAAGATTGTGCACGGAATCAGGCAGGAGTGGAAAGTGCTGACATATGGTTCAGGGCTCCCCTGGTGGGACTGGCTTCTACTGACAGGAGCAAATAACAAAAATAACCAAATTCAACCAAAGGACTTGCATCATGTAGTACCAGCTCTGTATTATCTTTATGGTGGTTAAGTAAAGGTCCACTGTATCAGCTGGACTATCATGTATGCTGTGAAAATATTGGAAAATAAACGCTATGACCTGTTCCCTATTAAATATGAGGAGATTTTTTTTTACTTTTTTTTTCTTTTTCTTTTAGTGTACTACTGAGCTTTTTCAG